CAACGACCTCATTACTTGTCACTTAGTAACCAAATGAACATCGTGGTTAAAAAAATTGCCATTTAAGGCCCACCAACTTATTTGTTGGTAGATTCGACTTTGAGTAAAACACACATTATTGATTTTATGACATCATGACTATTGTGCATACCCACAGGCAACGATGGCGCAAGGAAGCAAACACACTTCCCTGTTTCTCCTTGCACGCTTGGGATGCTCCTCCCAGCACATTCAACACTTCAATCACTGTGGCGTTCTTTGCACTGCAAATAAAGTGACAGCTGTACAAATGTTCTCGATTTGGAGGAAGAGGTTTTGTTTAATAACCTCGACAGCACCCAATATGATAGACAGAGGTAGTCAACGACCACTTATAATTACAACTTCTTTCCCTTTTCAAATCTTCGCTCTTGTCATGACAGGCATGAGCGGTGGGGAGCTGAAGCTTTAAGAAGCTTTTTGTCAGAGTTTCGCTAAGAATTGACTCTTATTCGAATAGAAATTTACTTCTTTGGTATCCCGTGTGGTGGCAATTGGATTTAGCAGCCGCAGTAGAAAGAAAATGCAGATGCACTTTTATGGGAAGTGCGGTGACTTGAATGAGTCTGGAATACGGCTGGCACTTTATTTGAACAGACAGAGTATTTATCAAAATAGGAATCTAAAATTGGCAAATGTCTGAGAAAGTGATATTCAACTACACAGAAAAGTCCATAGGATATACTCACTGAAACACCTCGAGAAATTCTTCTCGACATACTATCCTGACGCTTTCATTGGTAAGTGTACATAGGACTCGAGTTTAGGCTATTCACCTGATTACTGCTTGGAGAAAAAACTGAGCTATGAATGGCCGAGTTTGTAGAGAGGAGGTCGAAAAGAGTAATGACAAAGTAGCTGACCCTCAAATTGAAGCTCAAGTCAACTCAGAATGGCTGACTGAATTGCAAATTTCGTTCACATCACTTCCACAGATGCACAAAATTGAAGAAGGTATATTGCTTCTCTAAATGGCATGAATTCAAAAAAGGAATTAAAATTGATAAGCGAACAGCCTTCAAGCATGCACTGAAAGGAGTGAATATGATTTGATCAGATGCATCCTGAAGACTGCTACATAAAGCGGTCTTAGGCAAAATGGTTCTGTCCTTTTGGCTAAGTGTAACTGGGCGGAGTTGCTTCAGTATTCAACCAGGTGTGAATACGCATGCCTTACACCAAAGTATCTGCCTCCATAAATGAACAGTTAATAAATCGGGAGCAAGTCAAACCTCTAAGCACTGACAAGTTTGTGCACATTTGACTTGCATGACATGCGGCTGTCCCTTCCAATTTTGCATCTTGGAGACCCACAAGACCAAAGCATGTACAACTTGTGCGTGTTTCCTCCCTCCCCTTTGTCCATTCCGCTTCTTTACTGTGTATTCGGTGCAACTCAATATGCAGCGCGCCGTGTAGGGTGGTGTAGTATCGTTTGGTTCAGGTCGTTGCCGTGCGACGCAGTGCGGCGAGACAGGATGGGATGCCGTTGCCATATGAAAGTTAAGATAAGGCAGAATGGGATAGGATAAGGAGGGTACGGTGTGGAGACATGGGTAGGTGTCGTGCATGTTTTCTGCTGCAGGTGTGCCCAAACTGGCGTGTGCATCTTGTTAGAGTGAAGTGGAGGTGGATAAGGAAGGATATTTAGGAAGGTGTGGGTGTGAAATGGGTGTAAAAGAGTCGGTTTACCTGCCTGCATTGATTTGCCTGTTGTAATAGAGGTGGGTGGGAGGCACCAAGTGGAGGCTGTGAATAAATAGGGCA